GGAGAAGATGAGGTCCACATCTCCATCTTGGTCCCAATCGGCAAACGCTGCTCGAGCAGCAGGATACGGCTGATAAGGGTATGGATTCTCCCCCAAGCTGGTGATGTTCTCAAAGACCCTGGGAACTGTCCTCACACTGCCCTCATGAAATTCGTACAAATGAAAGCGTTCAGAGTCCTCCAAGACGACCACATCTTCTGCCCCATCGCCATTCCAGTCTAGGACGATATGCTCAGAGAAGGGTCCGACTTCGACATCCTGGTAGGCGTTGAGCTGAGAATTCTGCGCCAGGCTTCGATCCAGCACATGTTCAAAGTACTCGGCCAAGGTCCAGTGGGATTTCCCGTTGGCGTACACATGTACCACCAAAATGTCCAACCAACCATCGGAGTTCCAATCTGCCACATAAAACTCAGACCAGAATTCTGAGTTTGTAGTCAAGGAGATCTCCTCCAAGGGGTTCTCCACTGTCAAAAAGCTCCCGTCAGCAGCACTGTCAAAGTAGGCCAAGTAGAGGTGCCCATAATACTCTGTCGACTTCGAGTAGCCCCTGGTCACCACCTTTCAAGGCCAACAATGAGTAAACTACCTCTCTTCACTAGTCACTAGTCACTCACTCTTCTCCACTCCAACGAACAGCATGGCTTGAGTCACCCAATGTCACCAATTTTCTCGAAAAAATGAACGAGGATGAACGGTCGAAACGAAACGATTGAGATGTTTCGAGACATCTTCCCTCCTCCAAATCTCCATCACCATCCATATCAGCAATCCACAAAACCTTGTGGTCGAAAACCTCCAAAGGGTTCTCTCTTCCAGTGCGCTCCACTAGACTCTCAGAGATACGCTCAAAGTATCTGGAGTACATTGGCTGATAGTTGTGATGTCCCAACATCAGATCCAGATCACCATCGTGATCGAAGTCCACAGCCAGCATATCACATACAGATCCGTTGGTCGACAAAACGACTGGAAAATCAAGAGGTTCTTCCACATGCGTGGAACGATTCCACAGCCTCACAGTCACAGAATCATTCACTGTGCTGCACAACAGCAAATCAAGCTGATGATCACCTCGGCCGTGAGAGACTGCGAACATACCAAACGCTGTCTCACCAAAAACCCTTGAACACCCTGGAACAAGAGAATCTGTCCAAGACCTCAAGAGCTCTAAGATCATGCTGCCACCATGCACCCGAGCATGAAAGGACAAAAGAAAAATGTGTCTCCTATAAACAACCGAGTTGCCATCCCAGTCCACGACTTCGAAGCGATTTTGGCGGGCAGCAACGGGAGGGGGCGGATATTGGAAAAGGTGGTTAAAGAGCTCTCCTGGGTGTTGTGCTTCAAGCTTCAGCAACTGGCGCTTCTGAAAAGTGTTCTGCGAAAGCCTTTCATGGAGCCAGATCGCCCCTGCCTCACCAACCAACACATCAGTGTCGCCATCACCATCCCAATCTGCAAAGCGCACCGTGCCGTGATACGGATCACCTGTGAGCTGCGAGATCTCCTTCTTCTCAAAACTGTGGCGTTGCCCAACACAGCTACCATCATGGCTTTGACACCAGGATCCCACGGATTTCGTGATCAGAGCGGTCAGCACCAGCAGGGCACGCTCCATAGGCCCATGCAACGACGGGATAGGTCCGATAGATGCTTTCTCCGGGAACAACCAGAGTTTCCCATGCCTGGTTGGCGATTCCTAGTGATATCAATTGGTTCTGGTGTTCACTGGTTCTGGATCTGAGATGCTTCAATGATCTCATGCGTTCCACATGTCGACAGAAGGCTCGAGCAATCTCTCCGAGATTGGCAATGTGTATTATAGTTTTATTTGATTTATATATATATATAGTTATATGCTATCCCCCTTCCCAAATGTCTACCTTTTTGGCTTGCTTGGATGGTTCTATTTGATGTTGCCCTGTTATGTGTGTATAGAGAGAGAGGGATTCTTAGATGCTTACCAACGAGGTAGACGGTCCGCAGGGTCTCAACGTGCCATGTCTTCTTGCTGCACGTCCCAACACCGCGGTTCAGGACTCTGAGACGTACGTACTGGGCTTAAGATACTTAAAGGATTAACAAGATGGGACAATGGCATGGTTCCCCAACCTTCACCGCCAACCTAGGCCAGACCCCCCGCGCCTTGGGCTCTGATCAGGCGATCCAGTCGTAGGGTTCTTCCACAGCGTTTCCTCGTTGGCCCATGAAAAACTGCGGAAAAACTGCGATTCAAACCGCTCATCCAACAGTGCCGGAAACACCAAATGGAGGAAATTCGGCTTATCCAGTCAGATGGAATCCCGTGGCCAAAACTTTGCTAGGCCACGGCCACAACCTGACAGACGTTTGACCTTTAGAACTCCGTTCACACTCGCGCAGCTGCACCCGGTCCACTGGGGAACCTTGCCTGGGGGCCCGGGCTGCCTGAGCCATCGAGTCGATCGTTGAAACAAACCTGCGGAGCCAGAATGAAGCAACTCTTCGAACGAAACGGTGATTTCATCTCATGCCAATTGGAAAGACACAAAAAGAAGCTATGTATTTTGTGTTATGGTCACACATCTACAGCAACCGACAAGGTCATCCTGCCCCAAACCAAGAAGACTTGAAATCTCCCCAATACGGGCCTTCCTCGCAGCGAAATCCGCGAAGTGAGGAAGGGCCTATCAACATCTGAACCCCACTCTTTCCGGTTCTGCACAGTGGGGAGCCCTGCACTTTGATGGTCGACGGACGACAGTTCTCTGATTGAAAAGTTCCAGAAGGACCAATGTGATGAAGCACAAATCCTTCAAAAACAGTGATTCATCACAATACAAAAGTTGTAAACACCTGATATTCCCAATTCAAAGAAGCGCCAGTTCAAAAGCCAGCACAATGCACGTGCACCCCTTGAACTCGCTCATTGTGGGATGAACCATCCCTCAAGCTTCCCACCCACACGTGACCGGTGGAGCTCAGTCGTCTGTGCGTCGATCAATAGGGGTCTCGCAGCGCAGTGGTGAGTCCTATGGGGTTGGTCGATTTGGTACCATGTACCTATTGTTTTTTTATTTATTTAGTACTATTTTTTTGTTTTTTCTAAATAAGCATAAATAAATAAATATGTGGTTGTACTCTTGGGGGTGTCGACCCCTATTAATCAACCAACCAATAGTAAAAGGCCTATGTCGCAGGCGACCCATCGCAGCGAGCACACGGCGGAAAAAAACGATGTTTCGGCGGGCGACCGGACGGCTCGGCTTGCTCTCAGCCAGCTAAACGGTGCACTTCAAAGGAAACCGGTCACGTTTGCAAATACAACATCCACACATCTCGTCCTCCCCATTTTCAGACTCCAACCCGGATGCTCCCCCACTCAACGGTTTCTTGGCCTTCGCAGCGGCTTCGGTTAGAAAACGGTTTTCTCCACCCCTCCGGCCGGTCGGTCACCTGGGGCGTTTTGGGCGTTTTGGGTGGGTTTTGAGCGCTGAAAACCAATCCCATCCGATCGAATCCTCAGGTTGGCAAAAAAAAGTGGGCTTCTCGGAAGACTTCCCACTTGTCGCTGGACGCATGTACCCACAATGGCTTGGTCTGTCTCTTGTACTGTCCGTATGCAGTGTGTGTTTGCTCAGGCCTCCAGGGTAACGTAGTAATAAGCACCCCGCCATTTGTCATGAACCACAAGGACAGTGAGGACGGTGCTCCCATGCCCCACCCATCGAACCTGCTTCGCCTTGTAGGCTGCAGCGCCTTTCAGCGATAGGCCTCGCTTCTGGCACAAGGGAAGTGGCACAAACGGAATTAGCAGCGAAACGCTTGAAGAGGCTGAGGCTTGAGGAGTGGCTTTTGGACGTGGTCGACCATGCCCCACCCCTGGGTACTGACAGCTTAAGCAGCTGTTAGCATGTAGTTTCTTATTTTGCACATGCAGTTGGACCTGAACCCATCTTCAACTTCCCATCCCAGCTTCACGCTCTGAAGCTCTCCACACAGGTGCCCCCCGCCGCCACACCACTCGACAAGCCAGGGTCAGCAAGGCGGGTGTTCCAACAAGGTTCGTTGAAAGCTCTGTGAACACAGCTCATTCAGCTCATGAATGAGACCATCCCAGAGCCTCATTAATGAGTTCATTCGGCTCTGCAAACATTATTATATACTGTGTTCAACTCGTTCAGCTATGCCCTCCTGTCAGGTCTGACCCTCAAACTCTTAGTATTCTTGGTCAAAGTGACAGACCTCTATCAATGGCAAATCATTGTCCAAGAATAGTAGATCCCCCCATTTGTTGTCTTCCTTTCTGCTTCGGTGTTTCTCAATAAAAACACTTCTTCGGTCTTCGAAGCTTCCTGTTGGAGGCATTCAGCTGCCCCGGGGCCGCAGAACACGAAACTCTACTCATGCGAGAGCGGTGTTACTCAGGGAAGCTTGCTGGCAGTTTTGATATGTTTTGGTGCTCCCCTAGCTGTCACCTACTGTTCGACCCCGTGTCACGCGCGACGGGATGATTGGCACAAGAATGGCTTTCAGTTGTCAGCACTAAGTGGGCACGGCGTTACGAACCGGTTGCCTCAGCTCCTGAAATGTGCCCTACCACGGCTTGAAGGACCCTGGCCTGAATCCACAAGGCCAGGCGTCAGGCGTCAGCACCACCACCCAAATGAAGATTCCTGACACTGGACGTGGTGGATAAGAATCTTCCATCCAACACACCGCGAGAATCGCTTGCCAGCTGCCAGTGGCCTGCCAGCATCACACCATGCGATCACACACTTTTCCACTGAATCTGTGCGCTACGGCAACAGCAGTCGAGTCATCTCTTCCAGATTCGGAGTTTCTCCCTTCCTTTTGGAATCTTCGACTCCGGAGCTTTGCTCCCAGTCTCAACAAAACATCTCTTACCTCTGCTGTACATGCCCAATGTTGGCAGCGGGTCAAGTGTTGTGCAGGAGGAGGAGGAGGAGGAGGAGCTCAGCGCAGCCTTTGGAGCGGACCTAAAGCATGTCTTTGCATTAAGGATCCATGCGATGTCCGATGATTGGCGTAGTTGGCTCGAACTTCGGTTCTGCTTGTTTCGCTCCTGCCTTTGGCATAAGGCGTCTGGTCTTTTTCTTTGACGGCTGACCTGGCTGGCTGCGTTTGTGCGATGCATCAACCTCAGGGGAGAAGGGAGAAGCATCAGATGCATCAACACGCATTCTGCTCTCTAAGTGGACTTCATGACGACCAGCCTCATCTGTGGCTTGGCCATCACCCTCCTCACGCGTGGTTTGGCAATCCCGGGCGTCGTAGCCTTCATGGCTGTCAAGCAATTCCACAGGCTCCACGAGCCTCTCAGGATGGCGTTCGTAGTGCGCTGCCTCTTCGCGCTTCTCTTCATCTGCCACTCCGGTCTTATCCACACGATCCAGCTGCCCCAAAACCGCTGGCCATTGAAGGGTAGTCGTGTCTTTCCCCACGGGATAACAGCGAATCTTGTCAGAGGGTATGCGTCGTCCCCTGACCTAAGAAAAATGTTCAAGTACTCTAACCCAAAGTTGAAAGTAACAGGCCCAGACTAAACAACAGTGTGGTGCAGGACATTACTGTTAAAGTTATATGTTTTCAAGAAAAGAGATGGCGATGTGAGCGTGTGTATTTTTCCAAAAAAAACTGTTAGTTTTAGACAACAGCAAGGGAACCTTGCAAGATGACATGCACATGTTCACAGTGTTGTCTTCTATCGTAACACACTATGATTCCAATCAGTGAACTGTGAGATTCACAAGTGTCTCTATATTTGCCTAAAAATATATAAAGCAAACTTGCATTCGTCTGAAATCATTCAATCGCCTTCTTGAAACTAATGGATATGGGTTCTTCCTGCCGCCTTTTCTCATGTTTTTCAATGATGTTGAAATAACTGGTCGGTTTGTTTTGCTCTTGGCGTTTTTAATGTAATAACCGGTGTTTCTGGTAATGTCCGAAAAAATGTTTCTCACAATTAAATAGACACTATCATCAAATCACGATTTTCATTTTTTCCCGAGAGCGTCTGCGAAGGGCTCTTCGTAAAAAAGCATCTGCAGAACTACGTATCATCTACATCTTCACATCTTCACCTCTGCACATCCACATTCTCACCTATATCTCTGCTCATGTTCACATCTGCACATCTACATCTCTGCTCATCTTCACATCCTCACATCATCTCTGCTCATCTTCACATCCTCACATCGGCCGGGGGCAGTGCCGCCGGAGCACCACGAAACGCAACCCTCTGCAGAGATCGTGCGTGTCGAGCGCGCGAAATGCAGGCGAGAGTGCGATTTGGGTTTGTCCGGCGCAACCCTCTGCGGAGATCGTGCGTGTCGAGTGGGCGAAATGCAGGCGAGAGTGCGATTTGCCCCGGTCCGGGACAACCCTCTGCGGAGATCGTGCGTGTCGAGTGTGCGGAGATCGTGCGTGTCGAGTGCGCGAAATGCAGGCGAGAGTGCGATTTGCCCCGGTCGCGGGCAACCCTCTGCGGAGATCGTGCGTGTCGAGTGCGCGAAATGCAGGCGAGAGCCCCGGTCCGGGACAACCCTCTGCGGAGTTCGTGCGTGTCGAGTGCGAAATGCAGGCGAGAGTGCGATTCGGTTTTGTCGCGGGCAACGATCTGCGGGGATCGTGCGTGTCGATGGAGCGAAATGCAAGCGGGAGTGCGATTGGGGAGCTGGAAGATGAGAACTGGCGACTTTGTAGTACAACTTTAGTACGCGGAGTATTTGGGGAGCTGGAAGATGAGAACTGGCGACTTTGTAGTACAACTTTAGTACGCGGAGCAATCTGTGGAGCTGGAAGCTGAGAACTGGCGACTTTGTAGTACA